TCCCTCCTCTCCCCTCCTCTCCTCTCCTCTCCTCTCCTCTCCTCTCCTCTCCCTTTTCTTATTTTTCTTATCATATCTTTATCTTATTGCTGCAAGATGTTGCCCTTCTAGTCAGAGCACTACCAACATATAGAGACATAAAGATGCTTTTGCCCTGTGGCAAGATAGAGAGCCTCCATTTAGATGGAATCTTTAAGATCCCAAAAAACAGCAGTCCCTACAGCAATGTAAAAGATGGAAGAATGATATGGTTGGGCTCATCTATTTTTGCTGCTAGGTACCCTGTCAGTACAACTTAACAAATAGTAATAAAAAGAATCTAAAATTTCATTCCACTCATCCTATAGCTGCAATAAATCACTTTGATGTTTTCTGTGGCCTAATACCACATACAAATCTATCTATATGGTTGCTAGGAGTTGAAAACAACTTGATGGCATGTAATCAATAAACACACACACACACACAGACTATGCAGCTTAACCTATTGAGCTTCCAAGAAGAAAAAAGTTTTAAAAAATGAATATAGAGACACATGGATCTTAAAATGGAGGACATTTTTGAAGAATGGAATGAAGGCATCTCTCTCTCTCAGACACACAATGAAAGAACAGCGTGAGCTCAGTTTTGTAAGTGATGAATACTATAGTTGCTATTCAGCAACATTTGGGGATTGATTGCACCTCCAGGGATATTTTCTTGCCATTTTGCCAAGATGGCCCCTGACCAACCAAAGTTTCATTTGGTCTACAGAAACGTTACTACAGCAATGTAAAAGATGGAAGAGTGATATGGTTGGGTTCATCTATGTATGAAGATAGCAGGAATGCCTATCATTAAAGGATGATTTTTAAGAGCATGAAGTTCATCTACTCCAGCTTAAATTTTGTGAACTGTTCGGACTGCACCCTGTGTTAATATTTTAAACTAATCTTTGCACCCTACAGGGACGTGCTTCACTTAAGAAACCACATATCCCTTCTCTGACTTAAACAAAAGAAAAGAAAAGAAAGAAGAATAAGAGAACAGTTCTCTACTCAGAGTTGGCTAGGTCTATAGGCTGCTATTATATCAACAGAACAGCCTATGTAATTCCGTACTTGCTCAGCCTAGGTTGGGCAAGTTTTGATAACACAAACCTGGTATAAAAATAGCAGACATCCTCCTGTTCCCATCCAATGAGGACTCAGATAATGCCAATGATGATAGCTCGATGCTACTTATTTAGCCAGTAAAAGCATGAAGATGGCAACAGGCATCACCACAATATAATACACAGAATAACACCAGAGTGCTTATGATTTATTTCCTACTTTTTTTTCAAAGGAGATTTAGGTTGCAAGTGTAGGATCATTTCTCATTTTATCCACAGAACAACACTGATAAAGCCCCATAACCTGCATAGTTGAGAGGGGACTTAAATTTGTTCCAGTCCAATATTCTAACCGCTATACAACACTGCTACTCCCACTCCCAACAATCTCAAGGTGTGTGGGATGAATCTTATACTTGTGGAAGAGAGTATCTTGGAGAGCAAAATGCAGACTGGAGCACCAAGTCCTTGAATCTGGATATATGAGTAATGGAAAGAGTACCTTTTGACTACTCCAGCATCATACTTGCTTTATCTAACACATCAGCATAGGCAAAAGGGAAAAAGGACAGAATAATAAATGTCCATGGAGGATACTGCTAACTGAGAAACGGCAGCGGAAGTACATAAAGCTCTTCCTTTTTGTGATTGCAATGGATCTCTGTGGACCTGTTAGCCAGTGATACTTACCTGGGTTAGAGGGAGGTTAGTATGTTGTGAAAACAAGAAAAGCGGGTTAACGGACCTTTTCAGAGCTTGGGGCAGTTTAGATGTAGCCCCAAACAAACCTACTCTTATTTGGAGTTCAAGTACCCCCATTCCTTTCAGCAATACTACATTATCCAAACAGTTGACTAGGAAGGATAGTTCACACTCTGCCATTCCACACTAAGGCAGGTCCTAGAGAGACCCCATGAAGTCTTTAGACCAGTGTTTTTCCAATTTTATGCAATCATTCAGTAAATTCAGCAATCACTCAGTTAAGCAAACTCTTATCCCTATTGGCTGGTGTGGGTCTTCTGGACTAGTCTACAGAAAACCCACCCACACAGACCGGTACCTACACAAAAACTCCAACCACCACCCA